GCCGCCTTCCCTCTCAGTGCAGCGCTGCCCAGCAGGGCTCTCGCGCGCATGCTACTTGCAGATAGCGCACAAGCGCTTCAGCAGCACTTCCACACTTCTCACGAATGAGCAATCTCCTTGAAATGTGGCTGGCAATCTTTATATTGACTTGGACTGAGCTTCAGCTCGTCCCAACCTCTGCTTCTTCTGGTTTGACTTGGTACTGGTGTTATGTACCCGATTGAACTTCAATCCACAATGAATTCACACGTTCCCATACACGCATGCAATTGCAGAGTAGACTCGGAGGAGGCAATTCCACACAAAACCGGAGAGAAAATATGCACAGCGGAAGCTCAAAATACACAGAGGACTGAAAAACGAATTTCAGTTCTGCAATCCCTCGTCCTCCTCCAATCTGTTATGAACATGATTGTCCGTTGGAATTTTATCAACGCTCACTTACAGAAACCCCCGTACACGCCCATACATGCACAGCAGGAAGGGGAGAGGTAGTGGAGTGTCACACCGCCCAACAAAAGGAACGCAGCGGAAGACTCAGAGGAGCGAAGTGACAGAACACACACAACTGTGGATTCTCTCCACACAAGTCCCAACAACCATTCATAGAAGACAACCGAGTGATCACAGCGAGAAATCAATGAGGAGATGACAACTCAAACACAGTATTACAACTGTTTATTAAACTCAGAGCATCGTTTCCACTGAATACCCTCAGAACCCTGTTGCGCCACCCTCAGAGGGGTAGCGCCTCAACCCCACCACCTGAACAGCTAAAAATAGCACCGAAACCCCAGGTAACACCCAGCGCCACCCTGACATCCAACTCAATGGCCTGCGCCAAGATGAAACAGGCTCCCAGAGCCAATCGCCACCCAGATGATGAAGAAGAAGCTCAGCGCCAACAGTCCCTGATGAAGATGAAGTCCAGACGATGATATCCTCTGAGAAGATGCAGCTATGGCTGCATCGCCACTGGGACCCTACTCCTGAGGAGGGTCAGCAGTGCACCACGTGCTCCAACGCATCGGACCTCTGATAGCCCAGACGGCTTTGACTCCCAGAGAGTCAGAGTGGACAGCGTTGACCCCAGTCCGGTCAGCGCTCCGAAGGTCTGGCTATGTCCGCCGTCTCCCCCGTCGGAATCAGCAACCACGACCTGATACCGTGGGCGCAGCAACTTCCACCACGAAGTGTCAACTGTCCAAAAAGCCCAGGACCGATGTCCCCATCCTATCTATACTCTAGACTAGCCTAGACAAGACCTAGACCGGACTGACTGACCGACTGGTACCGTTTCTGTTTCGGCCTCTAGGGCCTCTCCCTACCCGGCTATAGGCGATAGGACCGTCTATCAGCGTAGGCCCATTGGGCCTGTCTGTCCTAGGGGTAGCCCGGGTCTGCTATTCGCAGTTAGGGTAACTGTAGGAAATTCGAGTTAGTACTGGGCCCATATCTCCTATATTTACAAATATGTCCCTCACGAATTTTCCTTACAGGTAGGTCTCTCGGTTAGCCCTCAGCCAAACAAAATTACGAATCTGTCCCTACCTATGGTACAGCCTCGTCTGAGAGAGGCTACAGGCAACTTGGAACCAGCAAGTCATTGCAAATCAATCCAGAGTACTTATTCCGAGAATCCCAACCACGTTATCAACACCCACGAACAAATTATTCACAGAGTTTCATCGAGGGAGACTTCTTCTTCCTCCCACACCTTCGAGCTCACAGCTATGGCGCAGGCCTGCGCCCAACCTATGAAGCCCACCAATCGCCACTACCCCTGAAACCCCAAACAGTCTCCCAGCAGTCCACTCACAACGCCCTCTGCAGACGACGTGTCGGACCAACAAGGTAGGGTAGCTCCTGGACAACGAAGAAGAACACCAGCTCGATGAAGATGATGGCCTGCCACTTTGAAATCAGCATCAGAGAGAGCTGCTTCGATGGCAGCTGCCTTAACCCCAACAGAACAACGATGGAGGAGCGCCCCACAGAACTGGGCCTGATGCCCGGGCCAGACCTGCCTAAGTCCCATAACCCCAGCTATGGGCGCCCACTTCCTGTGAGGAAGGAGAAGACCGGGCGCTAAAATTAGTGCAGCTCCCAGCGCCGACCCCCAGCAGCACTTCGTGCAAAAAAAAATATCAAAACAGAACCGAGATTCCTCGGTCCCTGCCTACTTCTACCCAACTTCCCTAGGCCTACCACCCAGCAGCTACCTACAGACCTATCTGACCGTCCGACCAGCAAGCATCTACGGCCTCGAGTCAAGATCTGCCTAACTACATCTAGATGGAAACATGAGTTAACGGTCTACCAGTTTCTAGAAAGGCAGAAGGACAAAACAACGAGGCTGAAAGGCATAAGACTGCGAAGTAGACTACTAGCGACAGGTTCAAGGTTCAAGCCCGACAAGCTTCAAAATAGTCAAACACCGCAAACACACTGCAAGTCATGGGATCAAGTCCCGAGAAGCGCAAAGCATGCAGCCGAGAATTAGTGTGCAGCCCGCTCTTCACTGCAATTCATTGCATTCCTACCCTCCCGGGGAGCGAGGACCCCGAGCTAGGAGTTTCCACTAGGAGGACGTCTGAGAGGTTGCCTCTTCTGTTTAGCCTCATAGGTGCGTACAACTGAATTTGCAGACTTGAGAAGTTCCTTCCTTGTGAACCATCCGTCCTTTGTGTGAGGTTGGAAAAGGAACTTCACAAGGTATTCACAGTTGGGGTATGTGCCCCACTGATCTTCGATGCTCTCAACCTTGTATCCTTTTCTAAGGATTGGAGGTCCAAACTGCGGAGGCCTATCAGGGAATGCATCAGCAGAAGTGAAAGGCAAAAATTTTGAGGCATGGAAGACGGGATAGGTCTTGATATGAGGGGGTACAGCAAGCACATAGGAAGGTCCAAATGGATCTGCCCCCACTGAATCAAGCACCTGCCATGGGCCATAGTAACATGCAACAACTTTCTTGAAATATCTTGCTCATCAGTTAGTTCAGATCTTTTCACCCAGACCTAGTGACCTGGCCAAATAGTAGAGGGAAAGCGATGCTTATTAACCTGTTCGAACATCCTCTTTTGGGCCTTGAACATGTTAGTTCTAGCTTTCTCTAGGTCTTTCTCATAACTTTTGGTGAACTCTGCAGTGTTAGGAGTTAGTTTAGGCTTAGACTTGTCAATCAGATAATCCAGAGTTTGTCTGGAGTCTCTTGCAAAGTGCAGCCTGTAGGGTGTAAAGCCTGTAGTGCTGTGAACAAATGTATTATACATCGGTTGCGCCCGTGACAGATGTTTGTTGCAGTCCTGCTGATCAGGCGTGATCACAGGACGCAACAACTGAAACAAGACCTGGTTCATCACCTCAGCCTGTCCATTGGCTTTCAGATATCTCCAAGAGGTCATGTTCAATCTAGAATGTAAGTAGTCCTTACAGAAGGACTGCCAATCATCGCTGCAAAATTTGGGGTCTCTGTCACTGACAATGGAGATTGGGCACCCATGGACATTTACCCACCTTTCACAAAAGAGCTTTCTGACCAGAGGTACTCAGCATACTTAGAGAATCGATCAATGCAAACCATTACCTGTCCCATCCCACGTGGCGTGGCCTTGCCCAGGTCTGTGAAGTCAATGGACACTGACTCACCTGGACCTTCAGGGATAGGTAGGGGTTTGATTAGTCCCATAGGAGGCCGCCTGTGGACCTTATTCCTTTGGCACAACTCGTAGCTCTCCAATCAATGCAGTATATAGTCCTTCATTTTAGACCAATACCAGCGTTGGGTCCGGGCAGCATACGCCTTTAAGAACCCAAAGTGCCCGCGAGCATCATGACTCTCTAAGATCAGATGAGTAATGATCTTGTGATCATTAGGGATGCACAGGCGTTCTTCCCCCTTGCTGATTGTGTACAACAAGCTAGAAGTCAGGGCATAGCCTGACTCAGAATTGGGGTCAGCTTGTAGATTCCTAAGAATGGGCCCAAAGACTGGATCCTGAGGCAACGCATCAGCAATGGCCTGTCCGGTGCAATCGATGCGACCCTGTTATAACATCCCTTCTTGTGCTTCAGTTCAAAATCAAACCCGTCAATGAACCAAATATACTTTGCCAGCTTATCATTTAACTCACCTTGGATCTTCATCCACTGCAGGGTGGAGTGATCACAATAGATCTTGAAGTGTCTCCCAAGTAAGAAATACCTCTACTGTTTGAGGGCACAAACGAGAGCATATAGTTCCTTCTCATAAGTAGATGCCTGAATTCTTTGCACCTATCTTCTTACTCGTAAATTCCACCGGTTTCAGGCCGGTCCCATCATCTTGCTGAAGTACTGCACCAATACCATACTGACTTGCATTTGTGGTCAACACAAAGGCAAGGTAGGGTCGGGTAGTTTCAGCACAGGTGTCTGGGTAAGCGCTTTCTTCAATCTGGAGAAAGCTAACTGACAAGTGGCGGTCCACCTGAAGGGAACATCCTTGGCTAGCAGATTTGTCAGGGGTGTAGCAATAGAGGAAAAGTTCCTTATGAACTTCCTGTAGTACGAGGCTAACCCCATGAAAGATTTGATGTCCTTTACAGTTTGTGGATGTGACCATTCCTTGACAACAACCACTTTAGAGGCTTCAAGGGATAGACCATCTGCAGAGATCACATGACCTAAGTACAATACAGAGGAAACACCAAATGATGATTTCTCTTTATTCAATTTGTACTTATGTTCCCTCAGGACCTGCAAAACCGTCCTGAGGTGGTCTGCATGCTCCTTGGCATCTTTGCTGTATACCAGAATGCCATCCAGGTACACCACTACAAAGCGGTCAAGGAAAAGTCTGAAAATGCGATTCTTCTCAGTCTGGAATGTTCCTGGTGCATTGCACAGACCAAAAGGCATGACCAGGAACTCATAGGTGCGGGTTTTAAAGGTTGTCTTGTAGACATCAGCCATTTCGATTTGATGATGCCCGGATTTCAGATCAATTTTGCTAAAGACTTTGCAACCTTGCACCATGTCCAGCAAATCATCGATCCTAGGCAAGGGCTCAGAGCTCTTCCTAGTGATCTTGTTCAGACCCCTATAGTCAATGCACGTCCTGAGTTCACCGTTTCCCTTTGGAACAAAGAGAAATGGTGCCTCATACTCAGATGAACTGGGTCTGATCCAACCCTTCTCTGTCTAGGACTCCAACTGTTTCCTCAACTCATTCAGTTCAGCAGGTGTTGTTTCCTCAACTCATCCAGTTCAACAGGTGACATCCTATAGACTCTTCCCTTGGGAGGGGTAGAGTCAGGCAGAATCTGAATATGGTGCTTGGTCTGCCTATGGACCAGTCCAGTAGGCTCTTGAGCCAAATCAGAAAACTCATCAAGGGGAGGAATTTGAATCTATTTGTGTGACATAAGCCACAAACAGATTCTCATGGTCAGTTTCCTTAGACAAGTTGTAAAACTCCCTGGCTTTCAGGCAGTAATGGCTTGTCTTAGGATGATGGTCAGTGGCTAAGACACATTGTCTTAGCTCACCCTGGGAATTCTTCAATTGAATACTGGGCAGAGCCCAGTCAATTGAAGGGTTAGTAGCCCTTAACCACTTCAGACTCAGGACCAGATCAAAGGGAAGATGGGGAAAAACATAGAAATCCAGGGAATGTTTCATTTCCCTTTTGTCATCGAAGGTGACTGACACTCCTTTGATGACTTTCTTGACTGAGACAAATTGGACCTGTATCTCCAAAGGGTGCTCAACGTCAGTAACCTTGAGACCCAAGTGGAGTCTTTGAACTTCATTCTGAGAAATGGAGTTCCTTGTGGCCCCACAGTCAAGCAAAGCTTTGATCCTGGTTCTGTTAATTTGAGGTTTGAGCATGATCAATTATGATCTCTTCTTCTTCTTCTCTTTTAACTGGAGATGAATGGAACAAAGATGATCAAGCTCCTCCTCAGATGAGGGCCCATCAATATAAGAATATATCGAGTCCTTTGCAACCTAAAGAAAATCAGGCTCAACAATTGATTCATCTCCTGAAGGAGATGAATTCAGTTCAGCAGGGCTGGCTGCAGCCTCTGCTGGCCTGCTCGGTTTTTTGAGTGGCTGCGGTTGTTGTGATTCAGCCTAGGGCACTCCTTGACATAGTGGTTGCCCTCACACCTCAGACAAACCCCTCTGTCCTTCCTCTTTTGCCATTCACCCTCTGGGATCTTCAGGGCCCTCCAAGGAAAAGAGGAAGCGTTCATGGGACTTGTTGGGCGCTTGGCAAACTTTGGGAGGTTCAGCTGTTGGGGACCACTGAGGCGTTTGCCTGGCCCCTTAGGAGAGGAGGGCTTTTGTCCCTGAAACTGCTTGCCTCCAATGAGGGCTAGCATTGTTTGGGCCAGCAATTAAGCAGCTTGGTCTGCTGATGCCCCTGCACCCTGGCCAGCTGGGGGAGTAGATCCCCCCTGGCTAGTGCCCGCAGAGTCATCATCAGATTCCATGGCGTACAAGTTCCCCTTTCCCTTCCTCCTACTCTAGGAAGAGGGGTTGCCTCCCTTCTAGGGAGTGGACTGAACATGGAGTGTAGCCTCCATGTCCATGCCGACAAACCTCAGAGCTCTGCGATGGCAAATCCTACACCGATGCCTCCCTACCCCAGACTGGCTTGTTTCGAGGACAGACCTAGAGCAGAGAGGTCTGCTATCCCCGATCTGTACGTATTGTGGCAGGGCGATGCCACCAGCTCGGGCTACGTTGGAGCACTGCCTGCTGGCATGCCCCATGGTCACCGAATTGTGGCAATGGTGGGACACGGCCTTCCACTCCGTCACAACCCAATGGGATCTCGGGTTGCTACTGTTGGGTGAGAACGAGGACTTGCTAGCACAATGGTCCCCCTTCGCAACCAACCTTTTTCTCTATATGAGGTTGTCAGTCCTTATGCTAGACTGGAGAACCAGATGCTCCCATGAAAGAAAGATCATCGGCTAGGATTGCAGCGAGCCGAACAGGAAATTCAGGAGGAAATTAGGTCCCGTACATACGACGCATGGAAATCCTTCAGACGGGAGTACAAAGAAGAAAAGGAGCCCGCAACCAAGGCAATCTTAAGGGAGACCTATAACCAGCTTTGGCAAGACCCGCACCGTATTTTTGTTGAGCTAGATGTAGGTCTCAACATCCAATGGAAACCGTGGAGGATGACAGAACAGTCTTGGCAGAGACAACCCTTCCACTGCTTCCAGGTCCCATACCTGCAACCCAACTTCATTATCATACTCCCCTCGTTGACCTTCCCTGCTTCCCCACCTCCGCCACCACCCCAGACAACCCCCCGCTAGCCCTCAGTCGCACAGCCCCCCCACGGACGCATAGCCCCAGTCGCTGAGCCCGCAACTCACCTTGCGAACCATACCACCCCACCCC